CCTGAAATCGTCTCGTATAACCGTATAGCAACAACCAGAATTGAATATGTTATATCTAGAAACACAAGAGGAAATTCACCTTATCATCTATAGAACCGTTACCACATAGACTGAGCTCCGTCAAAGGCAGACGAACTGTAATTGATCCGGAGTGTTCTGTACTACCACACTCGTTAATATGAGCCTTAGGTGGATCGTCACGCTCAGCCTCAATATGCACACGAGCCGAAGTTGACGACGTTAACCCTTCGCTGTCAGTTACGACAACACTGAAATCTTCACTCTCATAGAACCTAAGATTAAAACGCCGTTTCGTTTTGCACCTCTCATTAACCTGAACACGTAATTCCCTACAACCATATTGTCAAGAGTAAGAACAGGCGTGTCCATTGCCTGTATAGGAATACTTGGTCCCTCGTCTTGCGTCCATTTATATGAAACGATCTTATCATCATCGACGCTTCCTGAACAGGGCATAAGAATAACGAAGCTGAAAGACCACAACCTTATAGAATCCGTATACTTCGAGAAGAAAAGCACCTCCCGCATCCAGTATTACCCTTGTACCTTCGATGCCACGTACAGGAGATTCAGGTCGTATCACAGCTTTTGGTGGTTTATTAGACGATTCTGGAGGTTTAACTAACAACGTGTATTGTTGGTGACCAGAATGCGTCTCATTTGAAACCGTCACACGGAACACCATCTTTCCTTGCTTCAACTGGAAAAAACATTTGCAAGACGTATACACAAACCTCTCACATTAATGTTAAGATTTCTTGGTTATCAAAATTTGAGTGCAAGAGGAAACCAGTTCGATGAAGTATACTGTGGAAGACAATCGCTCTTGCTACAATGAAGTGACAAAAATCCAAAACCACCACACTTTAAAAGGGTTAGGTTTCCTGAACTAAAGGATGAAGAAAAACATTTCACATAAAAACCTGTGTCAGCTCCAATACTGGGCGTTTATACGACAAAGCAACCGCAAGTCCTGCACCTTCAAGTAGTTCCCATAGGAAGAAGAACGAATTTTCTATTAAAAAAAAATTAGCAGATCCCAGGCTGAAACAACATGACTCTCAAAGCTTCTACTACAAGATAATGCACAAAAATTGTTCATACAATAAAATGAAATGTGCTGAATTCAAACCAAACCATGTGGAAAGTTTCCGTATGACAAAACTACACTAGCATTAACAGAGCTAACTGGTAATCGCACAATCGAGGGTCCTTGCACAGAAAAATTCAGAGCACTCTGCAATGTTATAAACACATTATTAAACTTTACAAATTCACCATGAATAAAATGAGAAAAACCTTTGCACCCATAACAGAGGTATCGTTCGCTAGACCCGATGAGGTAACGAAAGTTCTCGGAGCCAAAATTAAAGGATGACAATTGCCACCATGAAAGGCACTGGTAAACCCAACTAGACACTTGCACACACCAGTCTACAACAGAAAGTGAGTTTTGCGTCACAACTATGCGTAAGGGACTGAAAAACTACAAAAACCATACCTCTTTGGAATTGTTCGTTGCGCGACATTCCTCGTGGTCTTTCGAAGAGCATGGAAATCCGGTTTTCAGGTTGCAAATCACATCCTTCTAGAAACGATACCATATTAGCATGGTCAAAAAGGAATCAATTTCACCTTCGGACCGTAAACTTTAAACAATCACAACTAGACTCCAAAAAAACTTTATTGATTGGAACGAAAACCACTTTGAAGCAGACAATTTTTGTAACCACCCCACATATTTGCCCCAATAATATAAGATTTTGAAGGCCCTGAATTATTGAAGCTCGAAGCCCATTTTATCAGAACCATGCTTGCCAAAGGTTTTTCCATGAAAGTAGCTCTCTGTGAGAAACAAAGTAATAGCGGTTGGTTAAAATACATTGGGAGTAAGGTGAATAAAGCTTTTTTGCATCTCGGCTTGCTCTACTTCTACATCATTAACCGTTAAAATTCTGGTTTCTTTTCACCGCATAAAAACGATTTGAGCTCTTTTATTAGCGATATTAGCGAAGTTAGGATACGTAAGCTTCAATATTCATGCTGGTATTTCACCGATTACTTCCCGGGTTGTTTCGTCATGATTCAAAGCGTTTCATTGGATGATTCGCTCTGCCGAAAATGAAGAAATTAACCAACTTTCGAAATAAATAAGGCTTTAAAAAATTCTTGTGAACTCCATGTCAGTTCAACCACTCGCTTGTCAGAACATCGCCGACTGTGGTATAAGATCTAGTTTTCTTCATAGGTTATGATGCGTCTGAGAAATGGGTCGTTGCTGTCGTGTAAAAGAAGCGCGAAACAGAATTCATAACGGTGACACCGTTGCCCTCAATTCACTTGCTGCGGTACGCACTAATCAAGGCTTATAAACTTTCCAATGAAAAGTCACTCGAACAGTCCTCGGACGGTACCTCGATTATCACCTTCACTTCGTCGTCGTCCAACGTTGATAAGAGACTGAATGAGCTTCTCTACCGTGTCTAATATCTCCGGAAGAAAATCTTAATACATACATGAGTTTGTTTAGTTTTGTGCCGCGACCGCATGGAATTACGCCACCATTTTGCCAAGTGTGGGTAAAGATTGAAATCAATGCACATGGTCCATTTCGCCACCAAAAACATGTACGTGTTTTCTACTAAGCTTTGTCCTTTATGATTCGACTTCTTCGCGCAATTTTGTGCTCATTACCATCGATTTTCATGTTCAGCGTACTCTCTATGTTCCTACATCTATCCTTTCGCGATTTTGGTACATATACAATTCACGTGTATGGTGGTGAAAAAAACTTGTCCACAACCCAACCACATTTTGTAAGCCTTTTGCAAGAATGTTATGAGATACGTGAAGTACACTTCAACGTTTTCTTTTAATATCCGCATATTCGATGAAACACAGGCGTGTGTACATCAGTGGCCAGAGTTGTCTTGCAACTCGCATAGGTTTGCCTCCGTTCGAACCGCGTCCCGGACTTACCAATCATGCAATTCCAGTGCGACTGGAAATTAGTGCCCAGACTTGCCTGGGTGATAAAACTACTCACATGATACATCGGTAGAGCAATGCAAGTCATTTATTGTACGGGATAAACATGCATCCATTCACCTCTACGATGCTCGATGAAGCCAAGTGCATGGCGCACCATTAGGGGTTGATCAAGGTCGTAAGTTTTATTCTTTCATTTTATAAAACAATTATGGTCAATTATAGTTATTGCAAATGAAATAACAGTCGGTCAAGGTATCCACAGCCTTCTACTCCTAGTGATCAGTGAACATAAATTGAGAGCTAAGTTTTTCGCAGTTAACAGAGGCTTTGTATTGTTCACAATGCATAATGTCCGAAAATAATGGGCTCATCTTAAAACAACAGATTCAAGCTCACCGTGAACACCTTTCATTTAAATAAAACCACTAGAACAAGCCGACTTATAGGTCTTTGCCAAAACATACAATTTCCTTTACTACAGGACAATATTTCGATTTTCTGTAGCAACGAAACATAATCTTTCCGCTTCTATTCGTCAGGCTTAATGATGGTAGAAATAGCCATAACTTAAAACTTCAGCGGATTTATTATTAAAATGGCTTGCCGAAAAGAATTCTGCACGCCTTACACGACACAGCAAATTCTGCTTTGTAAGATTACCAGGTTTTCAAATTTTCAAGCAATTTAATTATTGAAAAATCGTTGGTGGTTATTAAAAACAAGGATGGGAGCGGGTCTGTTAAAGGATAAAGATCTCGGCGTTGATCAACCCCTAAGGGATGGGCCATGCATTCGACTTCAGTTGGCATCGTTGGAGGTGATTGAATGCATATTTGACCTTTACAATGAATCGCGGTGGGCTACGAATGTATCGAGCCAGTGCTGCTCTCCTACCAGATAAGTTCGGTACCAATTTACCGACCCCGGAGGAATGGACGGTTTGGTGAGCCACGCAAGCGGGGAACGGTCCCACGTATATTACAGGGGGCCTCCAACCACTGCGCTACACGCAGTTCTGCAGGTGTGTTACGTACACTTTGTGCTGAACAGAAATAGCTCGAAATACTGCTTTTGAATACATCCCAAGCAAGAAGATGAGCCATGGATTCGATGAACACCTTAACTACAAAGCATCTATGGATTCAATTCTTGCCTTCACAGGAATCTGCTGCACGAAACTGCGTGGAAATCATCACAATGAAAACAGTACAGAGCTTTTTCAAGTTCTGGAATTCATAGTGGTCCTATTTAGGTCGCAGCTGCTACTGGGAGTGAATGGAATCCTTCTTGCATATGCAAATGAGTGAACGATTGTTGAATTATCAACGAATTAAAGACGAAGCATTTGCTCCCCGAAGAAACAACTCCTTACTAAACCAAAATTTATAAAGGTACCCACCTTAAGCTCTTCAGCAGTTGATCTTTCGACGTTGGACATCAACAAAGCAACCATAACCACGAATGTCGGAACCAGGATCATGACGAAAATTCAAAGGAAATGCACATGGATAACGAGGACGAGATTAAACATTCAGTAGATCTCTGATCTCACGGAGTTCTAAATGAGAATGTAACGAATCCACGATGCCTTATATCCAGATGAATTCCATATGAAGTAGGTTTACTAGTACTTTCCTGTAAGTTTTCGATCTACAACACCGTTTTAAACTCTATTTCGTCAATGATGCAAAATGAACTACGTTTGCTTACCCATGTATAAAGACGGCAGCGGATCAACTAAGGCGTTAAATCTTCTCCGCACCCAAATACTTGCACTACACAAATACTGAAGTGAATAGAATAAATTTACAAATTGTTACGGGTTGGACAGCTCGAATGCCAAAAATATAGCAGCAGAGCACGTATTAGCGGTAGGGCACGGCAGTCGGAAATCGTTGTGCCTATGCGGATTGCATAGTCCAATTCTATACCCTTGTTTTATGGTGTTTTAGTATGGACGTGACCTATTTCTTATTTTTTTCAGCCTAATGTCGTGTAAAAGTGAAGGTTCCACTTCAGTGGTTAGTGTTTTGTGCACAAGCGATGCATCTACATCGGACACCGATCAGAAGCCTGAGGCGATACAGGAGGTGTGGAGTGACGCCGGTGACAATGTAAGTCCGAGGTCATAAAACCATCCATTCGAAATGAGATAACTAGCACGGTAGAGTGATTTCCAGTCTAAACGTACTAGTGGAAAGTAGAGAGCCAACCTCCGTATTCTGTAACAGTAGAAATGAGGGTCCAATCTAATTAGAATAGATGTGCATCCTGAAATAATACTAGTAAGAACCAACAGAGCACTACACGATCGTTCAATCAGTCCAAGTAAAATATGGTTTGTATTCACTAATAAGTCGTGATTCTAGGCTTACTCCATTCATTTTCTGCATTTTTATTGAAAAAGTATGCACTGAACATGCGAAGAGCTTAGGGATGTTTAGGTCGTTAAGGGGAGTTCTAACGATGGATGTGCGAAGAGTTTAGGAATGTTTAGGTCATTAACGGGAGTTCGTTGAACGTGCTAAGTGTTTAAGAATATTTAGGTCGTTAAGGTGAGTTCTTACAATTTTCAGATGATTCTTAACTCACTTAGGTCATACACTGTCGGTGATATTAGCCGCCGTTGCTTTTTTCGTTTAGATCTAATTGGTTGTTTACGGTAGCACAAATTACTTATTCGAACACGTAGTTCGGAACGATCCTTTGGACGCATTATACGCGATGGGCTCTAAAGTACTAAAATGTACTTTTTCGATTCATGAGGTCTCTGTAATGGTCACGCTGTGTTTTCTTGGGCTTCAACTAAGTTTAAGCTCAAAGTGTGTCACTCGTGTTGTTCTTAAAATAGAGTCCGGTCAACGTTCCACTAGAAACATCCATATTATTTGTGTTTGGTTTTACACTTGTAATATGTTAAATCATCTTCATCACAATATTATGTCCTCTTCAATTACACTTACTTACTTAATTTGGTACGTGGATGGCCCGTATTTACTGGTTGCGCAGGCCCTAGCATAATTTCTATTTTTTCGGAGTTTTTGTGATTTAGCCACTGGTGCTTCCCTAGAGTCCTGAGAACCTAGTTAATGTCTTCTCCAGGTTGTCACCACCACAGGTAGTCGCCGCCCTTCTGGATCAGTGGGAGGTTTGCCACCATGCGACTAGTTTGATAGCAGGGCGGTGGTGGGTCTTAGTATTGGTATCGGTTTACTCTTAGCTGGACTTCCTGGTGGACACGCCAGCCTCCTCAGTTTGGGGGCTGTGCTGGGAGGATGAATCCCCCGGTGTACATCGCAGCCCGACAACAACGAACACCTAGCCATGATAAGGCGGTAAACCGTTGGAAGGATTGTGTTAGACATTTGTTTAAAAGTAGGGCTAACTCTGTTTCAGAAGAAAACATATTTTCAGACTTGTATATCCGACCTGCCTTTGTCATTATCGTTCAAAGATGATCACAAATTCAAGACTCCAGCAGTACCACCGCGCCGTTTGAAGGACCGGCCAAATGACGCGCCTTTCTCACGTAAACCTCGCTCGTCCGTACCTTCAACGGTTGGTTATTAGTAATGACTGAGGACAGTATGCGAAGAAAATTGCCACCCGACAGTGAGTACAAATATCCCTTTCACTCATTGCCAGGTATTTTTTCTCTTTGTGCATCTCTCGTGTTTAAAAAGATGGCCATGCGATACAAGTTGCCAGCGTTTATCTGTTCGCTAGGGGTCATAAATACCCTTGTTGGCTGCTTACATGTGCAATCATTTTCGATGAAGTTTTACAGTTGTATGAGGTTATTTAGGTAGTGGGACGTTTGCCAGAGTCCAATGCTGACAGTAGTCAAACAACACGTGGATTGGGAGAGACATCTCAGCTGGATTTGGAAGGCAGTGGTCAAATGCTCTTAAAAACGATGTAATTCTTCTTCTAAATCTACTAGTCGTTGCTGTTTTTAGCGTTGTACAAGGAAGCGGATGCAGAAGTGACACGAGTGAACTTCAGTGGGGACCTACTTCTCTTGCCGAGCATCTTAGTCCACAGTGTGCGGTTTTCCTTCAGTTCTGGCTTATCGCCTGTTTGCAATAGTCGAATTAATTTTCTTTTAGGAATATGTTTTTCGTCAAGTGGTTTCTGCCGAGACTTATTACAGTTTATCGGAAGAGGCCAGATCTCACCTCAGGGTATACCTTAAAGGCCTCTAATTTGTCTCATTTAGCTTTAAAACGAAAATCAATGAAGGAAATTATAGCAATTTTTGCCACCGATCAATAATGCTGCCGAAGAACAGCAAGCATTGTCGTATGCATTCACGAAACGGACAGACTTAGTGCACGGAAATCCAATCGAAAAAGTGCAGTCGAAGCTGAAAAGTAGGTTGAGAATGCATTCATCTTAGAAATCTAGTGCAAGCTTGAATTCGTTCAGTGGATTTGGTAGGTTGATTTTGTTGTTGGTTTGAAAGCGTTTGAGAAAAATTTTCAGATGGCTGGTTCAATCCTGATCGTCCTTCTCAACAGAATCAAATTAGAGATAATAATAGAGTCTTATACGACCACTATATCAGATTCTATCACATGAGTCTGCTGAATAAGCTGGTGAAATCTCGTCATGTGAGTTTTTTTCTCTTCAAGATAATTTCTTATTTCCTAGATGATATGACTTTATCTCAGTGGCCTTCTAATGATTGGAACAAATGTTAGTGTTATCTACATCTACTTAACAAAGTCCACTGTTCGCATTCCTCGTTCCATCATCTAGGCATTGGTCATTAGCATATCTCTGAGCTCCAAAGCATTTTCTTTCCATAAAGGAAGGTTTACTGCTAGTACCATAGTTTTGGATCATGAGTAAATCGGACGTTTGTGACGTTTGTCTCGATTGTACTTTAACTATGTTCGAAAATCGCTATCAAGTCTGCACTGGATGTTCACTTTTTCCTGCTCGGCTACGAATCTGGCCATCGTTCTTGTTTATTCCGTTTCGCGCGAATGGTTGTTTTTTCACATCCAGCTGTGCTGTGATCTTCCTACTGTTGCGATCGAAATCAGTTTTCGTCCCTCTTTGTTACTTTTCCCGCAAATTGAAGATGGAAATTTGACTGGATTTCTACCTTGACTTCCGTCTATTTTGTGTGTACATTGCGAATCATTTTTTGAGAGATGTTAGTGCTTTAACGAGTTTATATCGTCTCATAGAAAAATTTATTTTGTGTAGATTCTTAGCTGATGTAATTGGTTTTATATAGCTCGTTATGCTTTAGTGTATTGAGAGGATTTCCGCGAGACAAAAAACTGCCCACTACGTCATCTTTAGGTTTTCTATCAATATACAGAGATTCACTGCCATCCAAAGGAATCCAATTCGCAAAGCGCAGGCACCTGTTTGATGCACAGGTGACGATTGCCTGTGAGGTGAAGGCCTCGGGATGCTTCGACAAGGCTTTCCCAGGTTTTCGAAGAGAACCAATTCGACTGGCATTAAACGCTTTAGAATTTCCCACGTAACACTCTAACCCGCACAAATCTGAAGATTTTCGTCGATATCCCTGCAGTTCTTTCTATTCCACTGTTTTCCCACTTATTAAAACTCTCTTTTACTGATGCCCATATTGAGGTACTGCTTCGTTTCCAGTCGAGCAGTTTATCATTATATGAACTGGAAACAAAAGGTGCCACGAAATGCAGCATGTTTCTTATTGTTTCAGATTGCAAATTTTTTAGCAAAGACTTCGTATATCTGCTTGTACTCTTATACGAGTTAATGAAAAACTCTCTGTTTTCTCAAGGTAACAGAGCTGAGTGGTTGCTAGATGCAATCGCTACCCAAGGGTAGATTCGAACCCGTGATTACCTTTACGGGGGCCACTTGTTACCCACTGCACCACTGAGGCCCTTGCTTTGCCTTTCTCTCAGCCAGTTTTTTAGCTTAACGGTGCCATCAGCAGTCACCCGTTAACGGGAATGATCTGGAGAGCACAAATCGATATTGAACCCAGGCGCTGAATCTGGCCTTGGGTATGAGTTTTACAAATATCTCAGCATCGTTGTGGTTTTATTTCACATATTACCCTACCATGAGGGAATAATAGTAGATAGAAAGTTATATATTGTGACTCCTAGATTGTAGGATAGAGTGAGTTTTACGTACGCTACACAATAAGAAAGTAGCATGCCATTCTATTGGCTTCTGTTCTCAGTAGTAAAGACTAATCTTTCTTCAGTTGAGTCTCCTGAAGAAGTTGATAATGGAATTCAAACCTTTTCTTTTTCTTCCTGAAAATGCATTTAGGCATGGTGTCTTCCTTTTCCCGCAGAATATCCCGCTTTATAAATCGTTTTGAATACAGGCCGTTTTGCAACATCTCATGTCAACGAATGCTCTATGCGCTCCTTCTCGACAGCCTATGGACCCGGAAGCATTGAAAAGACGTAACGACATGGAACGAATTCGATTGCGGGCAGCGAAGCGAACAAAAGCGTCAGTGTTTCGTACTATATTCGTGATTTCAAGTCTCATTTCGATGTCATTTTAACGTTCCATGTGCATTAGAATCGATTTCTAGAAGAGAACTTTTTTCTTGGTGTTAGCTTCAAATTTACGACGTATATAACAAGATAGAGGGGCGTGTGAGGCAGTGGTCAGAGGCGCCCTGCAATACACATGGGATCGCTTCCTGCGCCCAAGGCTCACAAACCCTCCTATTCCTCGGGGTCAGAAAATAGCTACCAGGCTTGTCTGGGAGGATGGCAGCACTGACTCGATACATTGGTAGGCCACCGCGAGTCATTGTATGGGCCAGATATGCATTCAATTACCTCGGGTTATGTATGATGATAATATAGTATTATAATGATGTAATGTGAAAATTTCTACCTTTGACAATTTTCTACTGAGCGTGGTAACGTTGTGCTTATCGAAATGAAGTGGAATGCCTGAAGCATCCCTCAGGAATCGATCAACGCCGAGAGCTTTATTCTTTATCCTTTATATAACAAGGTGTCATTTATATTAGCCTTTATAGAATGATTGCTGATTGTCGAATGAAAATTGGTCAACCTTGTGTATCGAGTGATGAAGAAGGTTTGCATTTATTTGATTTCCTATGACTCGTTCGAGGTTATACCTGGGAAATGTGTGTCTTTGATGTCAGGGTGTAAAAACTTTTTCTAGATGATGATTTATCCATGCCAATTACGAAGAGTGTAACGTTACATACTGCTCGTTCTACCTTATACACTCCTCATATGAAAGGTGAAGTCGTTCCCCATCTATATCATACATTTCGGTCTAGTTTACAAACGTGGTTGTTCGATTCATTTGGAAAGAATCTGTTGTAGGTCTTGAAAACATTTCTAATCTATCCGTTTTCTGAGAAGAAATGAAAAAATATTTTGGATGAGCAGTTTTCTTGTTTTGCATTTCTCTTGCCATAATTTAGATCTGGATTTGCATCAACCTACCCAAATGGATGACATAAAAACGATGTTGAAGAAATTCAGAAAACTTCGAAAAGAAGAACCGGTTTGTCTCCTTGCAGTTTGTATTGGATTGGAAGATTTCAGCTTATTTACTAATCCTTTCAGCATGCTCCGAGTCTTGATATCACCGGAATCGACCTCGACGATGTTTACGAGAGAGCAGGTGTTCTTGCACAATCGGAAAAAATTAAGCAAACCATGGAAGCTCTTGAGAAGAACCTCAAAAAGTGATGAGTAAAAAATTTCTCAGGTTAATATTGGAAATTTTTGTCCTTCTGAAATCGAAGACCTGGTAGATTTACTAACAAGCTGACGTAACGCGATGAAATGTATAATTCGAGGGTAGTGTAACTTAGGAGGAATGTTGTTTTCCAGAATAACAGGGATTAAAAGTCTTTCTTTCATGCGAGATTCGTTTTCAGATATTTTTAGGAGTACCAGGTTTTGAAGCATATCTATTTATATATCGTTTTTGTGAAAATTTCTACCTTTGACAGTTTTCTACTGAGCATGTTAACGTTGTGCTTATCGAAATTTGCATTACAATGTACATCTACAATCTATGGTATTGTTAACTATACCGCTTCGATTCTGGCGAGTTCTTCCAAATTCTGGATAACCTTGCTGAGTACATTTTTTCAATGTTTGTCCACTTGTCATTCAAACAGGTCTTCCTTTCGAACAACGTCTTAAAAGGGCCTGTACGCTATCTAGGCCATGTCTGTTCATCTCTTTCACAAACCTATTCTAAATTTCATCCATAAATGCTTTCAAAAGATGGCTTCCTCCATTTGAGCAGAACGAATCGACTCACTCTATACTGACTGTTATCGAAGATCTAGAGTTCCAAAGTATCACATTTTTCAAGCACTCATTGCTGATCTCATCATAATCTTCCTTTTTCTTATCCTCAGACTCAATTTGTTCAGATATTCGTATTGTCCTGAGCGCTTTCGGTTTTTCCTTGTCTACTCTTGAGGAGAAGTCGACCGACGATAGAGTTTTGTTCGTCTTCTGATGATGTAACTTAAGATTAAGAAATTCATTTTTTGAGCATTAAAACTGAACCAAAAATTGTTTTCTCTGAGATTTATTACAGGCTAAGAAAGAGTGGGCCAAAAGTTTTGTAGGATATGGCGATGAAGAAGGGAAAGGAAAATAATAACATCGATAGTGGTTCTCAGCATACAGTTAGTAACGAATACGTAAATTTTATAGAATGCTTAACGCCGATATCTAACGGATTACTGTTTCGGAAGCATTTGGTGAATATTCTTTCGGAAACTCTCGAACATTGATTTGTACTGTGTGAATCTTGGAATTCTGAGAAGTCGATGATTGTTCTTTCCCATTTAGTAACCATGGTCAGTTGTCGTGACGGTTTAGGGTAACGAATATGCTTGACAAATGTTACAAAACCGATTACCAAAAGCCGTCAGCTTATGTGAGGTCGAGCCATTTAGTTTTTACTATAAGAAACGGGAAAGAGTCGTTCCGCAATATTTTTAGAAAATTCCGTAAGAAGCCATAGGGAACACCAAAAGTACATCGAGGAACTGAGGTGAAATGTAAGAAAAGGCGACAATTGTTAAAAACTCCAAAAAAGAAGAGAAGGGAAAATATAGAAAAAAGCGGCAGTCCGTGTTCTGGCATGCTGTACGGACCACATGCATCGTATAGGATTCACAGTGGTGAACGCGTGGAATAAAAATATCGTCACGCGCATAAATTCCTGGAGGTTTTCCTTAGTAGTGGATGTAGTGCATTAATTAATACAATAAATATTTAAGGGTTTTTAAGTAGTATTAGGGTCAGACAGGCCATCTTACGGTTGTCTGGTGTTGTTTTCGTACATTCTTGCTATATATTCCTTATCAGTGTTTGAACGTCACACGCAAATAAGGAGAGGACGTTTCTAGGCTATCTGGTTTAAACGTTTAAGACAAGCACATTTAAGTCATTATATGTCATGTAGTTAATGATTCCCCTTTATAGTCTCCATTTTTGCTTTTTATGTAACGTCAGTGAGAGGATAACGTGTCTGAAAATTCCTTAGTCGGGAATAGTCACATATGCTTACGAGTGCTCGAAGTGTTTCAAGGTATATTATCAAAATTTTCCATTACGATGTTAGCTATTTATTTACCACCTTTTAAAAATTTTTTTTACGACAGGGTATTGTGTATGATATAGCCACAATGATGCTGAGATATTTGCAAAACTCCGGACCGCAAGTGTCTGCGGTGCGGATCGAACACGTTATTACCCTTTCCGGCGGACAACGCGTTCACCGCCACAAACAAAGGGTTCAGTGCCGATTTGAGCTCCTTAGAACAATCCCGTTGATGGGTGATTGCTGATGGCACTGGTCGATAGAAAACTAGCTGAGAGACAGGCGAAACGAAGGAATCGCATGGTGTGTTGGTGAACACGTTACCCATCGGATGGGGCAATGGCGCGTTCGTTCCCCACCGCAGACACCTGCGGTCCGCAAGTTTTCCACTACAATTTTAAAATGAGATGAGTTGGGTTGAAAACAAGTAGGAATGATACGATATTCTGCGTAAGTGTTAGTAATACCTTTCATCCGTATAATTGAAATAGCATCTAGATTGCAATACTGCCTTTTACTGCCGTCTCCTTCTTCAGCTAAGACCGAAATTGGCAAATGTTTTATAGATACGGGATTGTTTTACCACCCTCACACGTGGAATTAAAAAAGGTGCGTGTAACACAATTGTTGTAAATGTTCTGCAACACACAGTTGGTTTAGTCTCATGCTCCAAGCTGAGACTCCCATTCCTTCTGGGTTATAAAATGAATGCATGATTTGTCTAGAAAGATAACAACACTTACTCGATACATCCGTAACCCACCGAGATTCATTGTGTGAGCCTTTAATTCACCTCTACGATGCTTTACGGAGCCAAGTACATGGATAAGCTATAGGGGATTCATAAACGCTGAACGCTCTGCCGTTTTATTCTTTTAACACAGAATATAGGACAAAGTGATCCGTATTCATAGAACACTTGGTCTCCTTGTTCAAGAAATGCTACTACAAGAGAAGCCACAGTTACACCCGTCTAATAGTTTCTTCCTGTCGTGCAGAAATTCCAATCTCATCACTATGCAGTTCCATGAATGTGATATCTAAATTCAGGAGCAGTATCGAATCGTCTAGTTAAGCACTTATCCAGCTTTGCTGAATTATAGCACATGTTGTACTCCTAGCTTCGGAAAGTCTGGTTAAGGGAAGCAGATGTGTAGATTTGGTGTATCGGAAGCATGAAAAGAATGGTGTTATCAAGTGCAAAAAAGTAGTCGCATACTTGTTTTCATCCTTCGCATTGCGATGACTGACAAAGCGTGGGACTTCGACTAAATTTTTGACACTTTCCAGGATCCGACTCATCAGCATCAGCTACCGATTTTTGCACTTGCAGTTATCCGTATGATTGCATCTTTTCTGCAATCGTTTGTCGCAGCTTGATGTATGAAGGTCGTAGCTGCGTTGTGTTTATAACCTGCTGGTAAGGGTGGGCGGAGCAGTGGTAGTATTTGCAATAATCACGAGCCATAAAGAAGACATTCTTCAAGCAACATTTGAACCCAGCTGTGAGAAGTTCGAGAACCTCCGAATGGACGATGGATAGAGGAGACGAATCGCACTGCAAAAGGTACTGTGTTTGGCGGCACAGAAAATGTGAGGACAGGTCGTGTAAGCGAATAAAATAAAAACCTAGTGATGCGATCGTGTATGGCATCGACTAGAGGTGTCTCCCCTTACACCATTGTAGTGTAGACGATTGGTCTTACATAGTTTCAATGAGAAAAATGTTATAGCAATACTCGTTGAAATACTTGCGAAGTATGAACCGCAGTGGTTAAAGTAAGGTATGGTGCCTTGCAATACCATGAGGTCGTTGGTTGAGTACTGCACACCATATTTATTCGTGGTTGACAAATCGCTTACTTCACCAGAGTTATTCGTGAGGATTAAAACACTGACTTAGTAAATCGGTAGACTAGTGCCAGTCATTGCTTTATCTTATTGTCTCTTTTCACACCTATTGATTTGAATATGGTTTCGTCCTCAATAGAAGGCTATGGAATACTGGGATACTTGGAATATAAGATATTACGGATAGTATGGCTAGTATAAGGTACGGAATAACACAATGAGGTTGTGTTTCAAACTACCACTCATTTTTTTCGACTTTCTTCGATTTTGTTGTATTTGTCACGTGGGTTACGTCGTATATCTCATTTCTTCGTTTATTCTGTGTGTGCTCTATATACTTCATATAAAATGAGAGAAATAGTATCTGTTAGTACAGATAGGCAAAGTGTGTCTGTTAGTACAAAGGCTATCCTGCAAGATCTAATTTAGGCAGTCTCTGCTTTCACCGGGGAACGAACCTGCCAACTGAATCGTTCCGGCATCATAGGTCTAGAAATCATCACTCTTCAATTAGTCATTGTTCACACACATTGAGGACTGCGCCCTCACTCTATTTGAGGCAGAAAGATGCTAAAATTCAGAGATACGTACCTTCTTCGATACTCTTCCATGACTCACATAGCTGTCAGGAATGAGAATGGAGAATTTTCGAGAACACGGCTTAAATGTGTAGTTTTACAATACGGCATAATAAACCGATTTTTGTTTAAGTATCGTGAAGTTTAATCATTTTTAATTAACGTTAGACTTCGTTTGGCGGTTTTTCTCACGGTATTCCTGGATAGGAGAAAATAACTGCCATAGTAACCTCAGTAAAAGCGAAGGTTTTAGAAACTAGCCATAGATCTTAACCGTTTTACTTACTGCCTCCTCTTTTTTTATGGCAGGGTATATTGCGAAATATAACTTCAATGATGCTGCGATATTTGCAAAACTCCGGACCACAGGTGCTTGCGGTGGGGAACGAACGTGCTACTGTCCTTTCCGGGTGCTAACGCGCTCATCACCACACCATGCGGATCCTTCGTTTCGCCTTTCTTTCAGCAGTTCTATCGACTTCGGCTATCAGCAATAACCCGCCAGCGGGATTGATCTGGGGAGCCCAAATCGGTAATGAACCCAGTTAAGCTGAGATAAAGGCGGAACGAAGGATCCACATGGTGTGGTGATGAACGCGTTACCACTCTTAAGGGACAATAACGCGTTCGTTCTCCACCGCAAACACCTGCTGTCCGGAGTTTTGCAAATATCTCAGCATCAATGAAATTAGCCATAGATTTTCGATTTTTCCAGAATTTATCGGCTGGGCGAAGTAGTGGCTTTTGCTTTGCCTTTGATCTTAGATGGGAGCAGACTATTATTAGACGGAAACTAATTGAATTGAAAGTACCTGGTGATTTCACGTCTTACCTTGATACCGTCGTTACAGTCGTGATAGATGCTCAGCTTCGGGTCAATGGTGGTGTACTCCTTTGTCCAACCGGATAAGAAGAATTGTCCATTTGTATCTGTATACTTCTCGTCCATCAAATCGTCCATGTCAGCTAAATTTGAATTTTCTTCTCACTTCATGTGGTTTTTCCGTTACCACTAATAATCAAAAAGAAATCATGACGGGTAAGAGGGAATATCACTGGGCTTACGAAATGTGAAATATACACTTACCCAAATCTGCTTGAGGGTATTCATAAATAAGATATGACATGGCAACTTGGTTTCAAAAATTGATATCTCAACCAAAGAAATGGAACCGCTCACTTCTGTCCACATCCCACAATTTCACTTTGACTCCGACCGCCGGTCTACCGTCGCACATCAACTGGCCTTTTACCTGGAAGTTTTTAAAGTAAGTTCTCTAAATATGAGTTTGCATGTGTTTTTTGTTTTTCTGATTCAATTAGGATGAATCGATATATTTCCTTCCAGGTTTAAAATCATGGCACTACCAGTGCTGATCCACCGGTACTAATAGGTTGTTACGTTCTGCTGATTCCTCATTCCATGTTTATTTACTGCCATATCGTTCAACTTTATTTCATTGCCTTTACTCTGAAATTTTTTTGTTCTTAACGCGGAAAAGAAATACCGAAGCCGATTGGTCCCTTCCAAACATTTCAAGTGCAGCTACATAGCCCAATATCACAAGTACGAGAAAACAGCGCATTCCTAGAAAGAACAGCTATCAATTTTTAAACGAAGTAATCATGTTTGATCGTAGTACTTCTAAATACTTAAGAGAGAAATGCGAAACTAAGGACTCGTATGATGTGGTGGTGAATGCGTTAGCCCCCGGAAAGGATAACAATGTGTTTGCTCGCCACCGCAGACACCAGCTGTCCGGAGTCGTGCAAATTTCTCAGGATCATGACGGTTCTGAAGAGCGACTTTCGGTTAACCTAGGCGTTGGTGAGAAAATTATTTGTTCTTACGAAGTGCTCGAATTTCATAAGAGCAAGAAAACGAGCCGTTTGGAAAGGGAAGTCTTTGCATGATAGAATTAACCATTCATTTACAAAAGTTGTTGCCACGTTCTTCATTTTTACGTTAAAATGTTGAGAAAAACAAATCTGCTCAGAATGAATTTGAAAACGCCCATGGAATTGGTGAATTTTTGTGCTTCGTTGTAAAATACGAAATTTTAGGGCAAATAGGCGGTTAGCGACAACTAAGAATTGCATTCGTTCGGAACAGTTTTCATCTTTCCATCTGATTGCAAACTAAAGAAAAAAAGGATATTTCGGCCCATAGTGATGTCGCTGAGGCATCTTTTCTGCTGCACCAGAAAAGCTCGGTTTTACATTGAGACGATGTCTTGTGTTCCTACAGGCAGTGCTAGTCGCTGCGGAGCCACAACACTTTAAGTATAATCAGATGCGAATTCTCTTGACGTTGGGATCTGCTTTTTTCATGTAATGATGACCTTCTTCCGAAAGAAAAGTAGTCTTGATGCTTCGTAGTCATACTTCTTTCTGAGGAATACTCTCAACCGCAGATGTAACAGGAACAATCTGCTAAGTTGTATGGAGACAGAATTGTTAGCGATAGAAGTTGACAAAGGATCTGTCGTCAGCTCAACTTCAACGTCTCATAGTAACAATATCAAGGAAATCACAAAGCCCTTGTCAGAGGGTGGATCTATTTAGGGTTCGCATCTTTCCTCATCGTTTTTTCTTTATATCAATGTTTTCGACTCGTCTGTATCTTTCTAAATTGAAGAAGAAAATTAACTAAATGGTCTTGACGTATATACATATAAAATTAGGAGCGCACCATACAAAGACAAAGAGTTGAAGAATCATTTTGCTTGTTTCGTTTCCTATTCTGCTCTGTTTGTTTTAAATGTCCCTTCTAATTTGGTTATAAAATTGAAATACTATTTAGAGTGCCAGAACTCATTTCATTAGCCTTAATATTTTATGCTTCTTTTTAATTTGAAAAGATGTTTAGGAATAGACTTCGACCCGACGGAAGCAGTGGTGCGACAAAGCTACGACAGCATAGGCAGTGAAATGAAATTTCCAATGTACAAAAGTGAATAGAAGCAATTGTTACTGTTAAAGACGATATGCTTCAATGTCACTAATTGTTATAGATGATGACTGGTAAAGTGGAGGATACTGTAAAGAACTGTGGTGAAGATAAGAAAATGAAAATAAATATAGTTTGGTAGCCAATGCTAAAGACAAGAAGAGCACCAGCTTAAGACGATCGTGTGAGCTCGAACAACCACTGATTTTCCCAGAAAAACAGTTAGATGTTCGGATTCCGTGAACAGTCGTCATCGACAGAACGACGACTTCATTGTGGCTGGTGAGTCAGGTCGACACGGCGCAAGTTTATGACAGTGTAATCGCCGAGTGTTAGACCAAACAATGGCTTAGAGCCGTTAACAGCTGATTCAGTTTGTCTACTAGAGAATATGAGTCACAGATGTTCACTGAATCCTGTTAAGGGTTGAATTTAGATCGCTCACGTTTTTTTTCCTTATCGATGTTCTGCAAGGTTATGAAAAAATGTGAACATTGTGGTGTCTTTGTGTCTGTGTCTTGTCCTCGCACAGGTATCGAGGACAAGCGTGCAAAACTCTCGAGGCGTTCTGGATTAATTCCAGAAATCCGAAAATGAACCGCAGGGAAGAATGCCTCATTATCACGCGTGATATTGGACAGTATATAAACCTGTTATTCTGATGGGAAGGGCATATTACGCTTTCATGCGAATTCTGTGCGGTTAGTATTCACACGACATACTCAGTGGAAGACTCATAGAAAGTGGTGAGTGTGAAGAGCTGTGTCCAATGTGATTGAAATCTTGGTTTGGCGTTTTCACTGATTATGGAGGTGTTTGGCCGGGTAGATTGCTGTCAACTTGACCTTTTCAGGCTTTGAAGAAGGTGAAATCCGCCGAAACGTCAGCTTGTTCTTGAATAAAGAATAAAGTAACACCTAGTGTTTGATAAACAAGAATATAAAGAATTATTTGATCAGTGCTGAGGTTAATAGAAAGTCGGTCATGGGATTGTCGTGTCTGTTCCTCATACCACTCTTTAAACGACAGTAATTGATATTACTTTGTAACACCTTGTAAAATGTTGATCTAACAGTCTCATGAGTCAGCACAGTATCATAAATGTGAAAAAGGCGATTTGAATAGTTGGAAACGTAGCGTTAATGGGAAAAAAATATGCTGAACAAGTTCCTTCGAGGCCGTGAGTTTCTCAGAGGAAGCTGGAATCACGGGTATTGCAAAGCGGGTTATGTTAGAAGGAGCAGAGCCATCAGCAACGGAATAGCTTGATCAATGAGAAGCAGCAATGATGATCGGTAGCTAGCCGTTACCGATCGAAGAGCATTGTCGGCCAGCTGACTAGCAAACACCTCTGTTGCGTTGCTTATCAGTTTCTTTGAAACATATGTTAATAAACGTTTTGGAACAACTGCGTTTGCCCCTCATATTACGCCTGATGTGTTCTAGTTCACTACTTTCGCTTGGACTACCCTATGCATTTCCTCCACTCCTTCCTTTTTCTAGCTCCCTTTAAAGATTAACAAGAATAAGTCATAATTGTTTCATAGAGGAACTTCAATCGGGATAATTGAGAACTTGAAAATATCGCTTCGATCAATGATCCAAAGGCTGTAAATAATCTTCTTGAAATAGTAACAAAAGTGAATTTAAAGAGAAACATTTTCAAGAGGATGTAGCTAGCTTAAACAGTTCCTCTGAGAGCAACACCTTGTCTTACTCAGTGGTATCACACTTGATTGACCAAAAACTCACTCACTTGTCACTCTCTCACTTGTCACTGCCTTGTCATGTCAAACTCTCTCACTTGTCTAGTCGCGATTTCTGTGTTGTGCACCACGATCACAAGAGGCCAAAAACAGAACGATTTGCGGACTTCAGGACTCTGATGCTTCACTTTTATGGGATAGTTTAATTTGTATCTATTGGTACAGATTCCAATGGTTCTTATCAAAACTAATGAAGTTTACCACGACATGAGCTATAGGCGCTCGAATTTCGCACAGCAATTTCGTTCCGGTTACGTGTAGTCCACATGAAACTCATTTTGTCGTCCATAGGTTAAAACTAAACTAGTCGCCTCCTATCAATAATTCTGCAGCCTTTGTAGAAAAATAGAGCAATGGAGGGAAAACCTTGATTTGTGATTTGTTGTTCATTAGGATTTGTAGTCTGGGTGATTTCTGTGTGAACATATCACTCTAAAACAGTTTTATTCGACATGATTTCAGCAACGGCATCTATGCTTTTCAGTTGAGGCAACTTCTGCCCTCCTTCGGGTATTTGCCGGCTAGTTCCAGTTGTCCGGCGTCGTAGGTGAGTTTCGGCTTACTTCCAACTGTCACGTACTTTGAGGGAATTCCCACTCGAAACGTGCGTTGGCAGGGCTGGAATGATACTCATCTTTGGAATTGTAGGCAAGTCTACAAAATTTTACGCCCATTTAAGCGATTAAACTTATTTCTGCTGAGGATCACGGTGCTTTATTGAAACGCTTTCAACCTTGCATATGAGACGGACAGCGTTGTTATTAGAAATATGATGGAACATAATTTTTAATTAATGCTGTGCTTAAAATTATGAAGAGTATCCGTGTTGATAAATCGATGAGGGGTGCGCTATGCATTCGACTCTACGAACCATCGCAGAGATCACTAAATACATATCCGGTCTATGTAATGATGACCTATGCCTGCTGTGCATCATGTCAGTGCTTTTATCTTCACAAGTGAGTCCGGCACCGATTTTTCAACCACGGAAGGTTAGACGGTTTAACCTCCCCAGTAATCCGGAACGAATCAAAGAATAAATGTGTTGTGGGGTACCTCTAATTACTGCGCTACACTCGCCCCAGCGGCATATTTAGATCATTTAAATGCAAACCAGTAAGGACTAGCATGGACTAGTTGGTTTTAGTCTACGAGGAAAGGGAGATGCGCAAAAACTGGTCGGAATTTTTTTCTTGGTAGGGAAATGATTCGAAACCGATGGAGAACCCGGCAAACGGCCATTTTACCACTTCAGTGTGGTTATTCGATTAAAGCCATGATAGACTAAATCAGTTAGGGTTTCTCACCTTGATGCCATCATTACAATCGTGGTAAATGGCAATGTAGGGCTCAATGCCGCTGATCTCCTTGGTGCTACCCGACAACGTGTACTCTCCATTGGAGTCCGTCTTTCCCGATGCCATCAGGTCATCAGTATCCACTACACCAGGAAGCAAACTGTCTAAACATCGTCCACCTTCATTTTGCCATAAGCCATATTTTTGTCTTTTATTGATGACTTTTCTAAATTTCTATAAGAAACAAGAAGTCTACACAAACTGTTCTTTAGAGGTGCGTGGTTTCCTGTATTTCTTGATCAAGGACGACCCGATAAGAGCTGGTCTGGAGTGAATCAACAACTTCTGCTTGAATGCTCAGAACTAGTACAATCTTCATAGTTTACTCAAGGCTAATATTTCGAATCTAATTATGAGGGAAACCAAAAGACCGAAAAGTGTAGAATTAGTGAAGCAAATTAGCAGCTGCCGAAGACATTAAGATATTCACTGCACTCTGTATTCGGATTGAAATATTATCAAGCAAAATGATGGTGAGCGACAGCACAGGCATAGAAACAAGCATCAGCACTGAACAACATCCGATGCAAAGTCGTTTCCGCCCGAATACTTGCAATAATAACAGCAAAAGTGTAAATTGTAAAGTGCATAAAGTATTTTTTAATACGGCATTAAGAGCCTTTTAGATAAGCGCGAGCCATAGCGCACATTTAATGTGGTTCGCAATGCCATCATTGAGTCAGTTCTCAGTGAACGTAAGCGTACTACCGCAGCGCGGCGTACTACGAAATTGCCGTAGGGTACTTTAACACAGAACTTTTCCTCTGCACTAACCAATCGTTCTTCAAAAAGTTGAAAATCAAGGATATGAAAGCGTTTGCTTGGCGCTACGTCTCAATCTTCTTTTTGGACTCACTTAGAAGTAGTTCATCGTGTGGATGTACGTTGCCTTTCAAAAAAAATATGAATGACCTAGATAAGGGATTCGACGTAGCGAATAAATAAGATCACGGATGTTTGAACGATAGAAAGTTTGCAACAACGCTCATGAAAGTCTCCCAGAAACGCCATCATTTGTACTACACCTTAGCTCTGCTCGAATAGGATAAGCATTCGCCATAGCAGAAACTCTATTCTGCTTTCATAGACCGACCACGGGAGGCCTAAGTAAGACTGTTTTTGGTGTTAAAATGCTGTATTCAGTAAGAATAAAGTGCTTGGGATTGATCAACCCTGAGGGACACGCAATGCACTCGACTTCGTCAATCATCGCAAAAGTGATTAAGTGCCTGATCTACACAATGAATTTTGGTGGCCTGCGGATGTATAAATACGGCACTGCGGTCCTCTCAGACAAATCCGGGAACCAATTTTTCGACACCCTGTGGGCGGGCCTTGATAAACCGATGGCGCGGGATCGAACCAACGACCACGTGCATATGGTTTAACACCTCTAACTACTGCGTTACACACACCAATATTTTTCTTTCCTTATAAAACGTCTGGTGAAGCCCACTATTAAGTTTTAATCGGAAAGGTAACTGCTGACATTATATTCTCTAGACGGAAATATTCATGGCTGTGCGGTTATAGTACAGTTGTGTGGGTGAAAGAAAAGGAAGTGGAAGTTGTCGAACGGTATCTTCCTCTTCATCTAACTTTTTTACGCAACACCACCGCGATCCAAAGGAGCCAGAAAAATTTATGAGTTTACGAATCGGTTAGAAGAAGATTAAATTCATGAAAAATGTTTGCTCCTAAGTAAACAGCCACTAAGAAAGTTCAAATCAATATTGGAAACAAACCAGGGCGGAATAAATAGAAGGTTAGGCGTAACGCTTCCGATGGTTAGAAGATGGTTAACTAGTGGCACTGATAGGCTTAATTAAACTGTTGTGAAAATGCCGTGTTGCGTTTCGAAGGTGGATCGAATGACGCCTGTGTTGACAACGGTTGAGTCTGTGTTTAAAGGTGTGATGCCATTCCATCACCAAAGTGTTTCAAAAAATCTACCGATCAGCATCTTCGTAATATATATCTGAAGTCGCCAAACGATCCACTCATTATATTGTGAGAAGAGAAGGAATACAACTAGGTATACAAGGAAACTAGAGCTGTTTCCTTGAGAAACAAAATAACCTCGATGAAGTAAAGTGGCTATCTGTTCTGAAAGTATTTCATCCACTTCTCTCCATAAGTTTGATCTCTAGCATATTTCTTGTGGATATAATCATATACGAGTCAGAACATCTTTATGAAGAATGAGATATGAGAGCGAGTTATAAGTGTGTGAGATGTATGGAGTGCGAGAAGACTGGCCATACACATAATTGTTAATGTGTAATACAATCTGATGAAAAAATCTATAGGTGGTACTAGTTCTGTTGTATTACTCTCCTTTGTAACAATAAGACTACCTAATATTATCTTGATAATAGCGACGCTATGACGATTCAAATAATCTAATAAAATAATGATTTCATCCCGCATTTCTCAGGTGTTGGATTGTGGTGTGCTGCTGTTCCCAAGATTAAGCAGACAAGCTAAGAAGTTTGTTATTTCCATCATGAAGCCGACTAACGATGTAAATTGATGCTAATCGAGAAGAAGTCTGGTCGCTATGCGGAAAATCTTTTTTGATTCAACGTGTCGACTATCTGTTGTGGACGACCGCGAAATTACTTGAGCCGGCACTTTCAGGATTTCACGAAAGCTCTTGCCTAACCAAACAAGGTACCGTTTCGACGAGGAAAGTAGACGAGTGTCTACGTAGGTGGATGCAACTGTTGATACTCAGAACATAAATGGTGACGGACACTATAGTGTTAGTTTGGTGGATGATTCTAAATGGTGAAGATTGTGTAAGCTGCGCTATTAACGACTTATAGCAGAAGGAAACAAAATTTGTTTGCGTATTCTTATGGAATGCGATCAGAAATGATTTTAATCCTTCTGTACCACTCGCCAAAGTGAATCCGAAGAAAGGCTGCATTGTTGTTATGTATAAAATTTTGTTGTAATAATAAACTAACTGTCCGAGTCGTACAGTTTTACACGCACTCCAGGCGCCGGCTTCCCGTTACAGGTCAACTTGCCTCGAGCCTAAATGTAAAATTTTTATTCCAGCTTTTCTTCTTTACCACAGAATTTTGTAAAACTCTAGAATTTTCTACCAACACCGCCGAAATAGCGTATTCCTCTAGTGCTGGAAAGTTATCTATAAGCAAAGACAACGGTCTAAAACCTCCCAAATGGTAGCTGTTTTCATGTTGTGTTGCTCTGTGCGGTGTGACTGTTCACCATTGTTTCCTTCTGGGTTTCAGCTGTGATGGAAGGAATAGGTGCTTTTGCAGACTGTTCAAAAAATAGGAAGGAAACTAGTTTTGAATCTGCGTCACAATAAAACGAACAGGTAGATGAAAGACTGGAGAAAAATTTTGGGAAAAAACTTTACAGGACTGGTTTACAGTGGAAAGACTATACGCTTTCGAGAATATCCTATGATACATAAGACTGTTCGTGACAAACCGCAGCTGATTGTGTTCGGCCGATGATGTCGATTCCTAAGGCACATTCAGTGAGAGCGAGCAGTACTAAGTATTTCATCTGAAAAGACAAAAGTTTAACATGAGGACATTCTAGAGAAAATATTCACTTCGATAGGAGGCATCTTTTGTGAAATAATCGTTCTCCTCCTCTAATTATATGAGCAAACGTTCTGAATAAATTGATATTTCCGTTGACGTTCGGCTCCCGTTATATTGTAGAAAGCGAAATGACTCCTACTTACGAAAAATTTCAGTGGTCGACACAACCATCATTAAACAGCGGTTAAGCTTTCATTTACTGCCTATTCTTTGTCCATGGCGGGGTTTTATGCGAAATATAACGACAAGGATGCCGAGCTGTGTGCTTCACTCGAACCCTTATTGTTGACTTACCTTTCCGGGGTAATCGCAAGTTCGAAGCTGCTCTGAGGTTCCGAGTTTTGTTCAAATTTCAGTATCTTTGTGGTTGTATTTCACATAGCCAAGCAGCTGGAAAACACTCTGCCACTTTTCCGATAGAGAATATAAGACAATGTTCTAGTATTGGAAGATAATTGTTGAATATTTCTTCATTTGATGGTTCGGAAGAGAAAGTGGTGTCACGCCAAAGCAAGCAAGCCTCTTCTTTGGTCGTCCTAAGGTCGACGAATCCGTAGCAAATCAGTCTCATAAGATAACCTCGTTTTCTATTTTGTGGATGTCACCACTCATTGTAGAGACCAACTTCGCATGTAATGATTCGACAAATTCAGAGATGAAACAGGAATGTAAGAAGGCCCTTCGTGGCGATTTAAAGAAGCTGTGAACATCAGTCTCCACTCTCCTGTTTTGAACCCGTTAGCATTCATAACAACATCTTACTGAACAAACTGAACAACAATCTGGAGTTGTTCCTCATGACCGACTTTCTTTTAACCTCGGCATTGATTGATGATTCGTTTTTCTTCAATAAGCAGACACGAGGTTGTTATTATAGAATTTCTAATTCTATAATAACAACCTCGTGTTTGCTTATTGAAGAAAAACATCGAAATCTGTAGTTGTATCAGATATTACGGAAAGCCTTTAAAAAGATTCTTTTCCTCTGCACATTACAAAAAAATCGCTTAAAAACATTGTCGCCTAAGCTGAGAACGAAGGTAGAGCTATAGTGGGTGTAAAGCGAAATGAAGAAGGCGTGGAATCGAGAGAAAAGAACTCGCTGACTAGTTAACTGAGAAAACACTGACGACCTTGGGGCGTATCACTAAAGAAATCAAACCGATAGAACTAGTCTTTGTTAACCATAACTGCAAGTTGCAGTTATGCACTATCACCTCCCGGACACCAAAGTAGTACACCTAACGATTAGTTGGAATCAATGTTAGAAACGTACGTGATAGGAATCTTGATTAATATTTTGCATAGAAACAACCTCTTTCACATTTATTAAGTGTCACGTATGTTAACGAAGAAAGAGTTTAGGGCAAAAGGAGGAAGCATGACCATGGACCCGAACTAGCGCCTTCTTTCCACTCTAGAGCTAAGCGAAACGAACTATTGACTCGATGACTCACTTTCAGATAACTTTGGAACATTTGGAGATGCTCGTTACATTTAGCATGAATGAAGCATCAGGCGTAAGTCCGTTTCTTAAGAACATTGTCTCTCTACGACTAAGCGACAAATAATTTCGCACACGCAGCCGAAATTCGCGACCACTTATCCTGCTTGATTAATGATAGTCGAACTCTATTGATAATATTGTTAAACACCCTTCATTTAACCTCGGCCTAAATAGTCAATACACCTTCTCCCATTGACAATCTAGCGCAAAGTTGTGGCCAAAAATTTATTCGATTGATAACGACTCGACTAAAACCCTTGTAGACAAAGAATGCTAGGCTGATGAAGAGGAAATTACCGATGACGTGTTCCTTATTTCTTTTTAGCATAACGGGCCTGCTAGTTTTCCATTCATTAGATACCGTGCATTGTGATAAGTAACGCTTGAGAACAAGCCACCAGAACTGTCCTAACAAAAGCCGGCGACGAGCTCTTCAGATGTCTGGCTTTTATGCTTTCGGTGGCGGACTCTGCACGACTGTTCACCTATCAAATCCGATCAAATGGTGGACATAATTGTGTTCATTATATTTATTTATATGATTTTATAAACTGATCTTCTTAAGCTGACGCGAGGTTTGTACAGGTCTTCGTTGTCGCTGTCGTTGTCGTTGTTGTTGGTCGATGGCTGACGTTTCGGTGACTTCGCCTTCCTCAGAGCCTGGACGTATTTTATATTAGAATATTTTTATTATTCGGTGGAGAAAAAAGGTTAAAATATTAATAAAGATCAAACTTCAAAATTTTCAAATAGACGCCATATTGAACAGAAAGGCCACTCACCGTCATGTTACGTGTGGGACTGGCCCACACGCAGTTCACGTGGGGTCGTGGGAGCACGACGCACCCCGAGGTCAAAATATCATTTTGAAATAGGGCGCGAAGTCACGTGTGATAGTGAGGCATTCGTCTTTCCGGTTCATCTTTGGTTTTTTGAAATTTACCCAAAACGCCTCAAGAGTTTTGCGCGTTGATGTTTTTGATTCCTGCGCTTGGATCCGCACATTCACTTCAAAATCATCGCCGTGGTGCTTTTGTGCTCTATGCGTACCTAGAATAGTATTTAGACGGATTTTAGCTCTTCCATCTAGATGTTCTTTTATGCGGACACAAAGTGGTCTACCCGTTTCCCCGATATATTCCTCGCCGCATGCATTACATGAGATCAAGTATATTATACCTAAACTCTTGCAATCCCCGTCTCTCCCGTTAGGACAGATCATACAGTTTTCTGAGCTGTACAAACGATCATAGAGACGATTTCGAACTAACTGGTGGCGTAGGGTATTGGGTGGGATGTCAACAATCGTTACATAATTTTCAAGACCACTTTTTCTTAAGCACTTTTTTAATGGCGTGACTTACTTCATTTGATATGAAGGGCAGCTTAAAGGGGATCTTACTTTCGTCTGAAATATTATTTTGGGAAACTACCCAATGTTTTCCTCTAACCCGAGTGGCTTCTACTTCGTAGCCATTGGAAATGGCAATTTTTCGTGCCAGGCTTCGCGATTCCTTCCTTTCCTCTTCTCCTGTACACACATTTTTAGCCGTACGATACATATTTTTGATAAGTGCTTTTTTTATGTGTGAAGGATGAGAGGAGAGGCAGTGAACCAGAATGTTTTTACAACTTGCCTTGCGATACCATTTTGTTAAATAGCCACTTACTGAGAGCTTTATTTGGATGTTTAAGAATGGAAGCCAGTTCTCGGTTG